TCTCCTCTCAGGATTTTGGGCACACATGTACACACGCTGGCCTAAGTTTCAAGCCCCCAGGTCTGGGACTTGAACCATGGTGAACCACTTGGGAGTCCCCATGCCTGAACCACTATGCCACCTGCTGGCCCCACACTTGATACTTTTAAAGTTAGTGAGTATGTAGTGATATCTCATTGTGTGTGTGTGTGTGTGTGTGTGTGTGTGTGTATGTGTGTGTGTTTGCTTTTGTTTGTTTTATATAAAGGGTCTTGCTATGCTGAGATCCTCTTGCCTCAGCCTCCCAGCTAGAGAGACAGGCATGCATCCCCATACCCAGCATTTTGCTAGATAGGGTCTCACTGTGTTGTCCAGGCCAGCTTCCAGCTCATAATCCTCTTGCCTCAACCTCTTCGGCTCTCTGGGATTACAGGCACGCACCACCTTGGTTGGCCTTATAGGTTGGACTGGGAATCAAACCTGAGTCTCCCATGTGGTCCCAGTCTGTAGAGCAGTGTCTTAGTAGCATGCACTACTGCAGCTGGGCCTCATTGTTGGTTTAATCTGCATTTCTCTGCAACTATGATGTTGAACATTTTTATTTATTGGCGAAGTTTGTATTTTAACCTTCTGTTGTATTCTGTAGATAGTAATGATTTTAAGATATCAGTGGCATTTCAAGTAAACATTTGTTTGTTTGTTTGTTTCTAGTTTTGGTGGAGGGCTCATGGACTAGAGAGTCAGTGAGAGAACATGAGAGAGCACCCACCCGGGGGGCATGGTACACTGTAATCCCTTTTTCTCTATCTCTCCTTCCTTTTGGTATTTTGGGTATTCATGCACATATGCCTGGGGTGTTTCTCAAGCTGCCAAGTTCAGGACTTGAACTGTGTAGTCAGCCATGTGGGATTCAGCTGCCTTAACCATCGTGCCATGGACTGGCCCCAAAGTAAAAATTTTCTGAAACAATTGGTCAAAACATTGACTGGTCCTTTGGCCAGGTCCATACTGCACAAAAATGAGGTTGGCTGAACATTACCAAATTCGAGCAAAGGGTGACCCCAACCCCCAGCACGGGTGACTGATAATAAGGCTCAGAGAGTGCTGTTGACACTTGAGCATGAAGACTGGCAGAAGTTCATTTCCTGGCCCTGCTGGCTCTAGGAGGGCTTCTCTGTCCTTAGCCAAACCTGGTGTTTATGAGAAGCAGACTGAGATTCAATTACATTTTCCAGAATGCCTCAGAGGTCCCCTGGAAAGCTCTGAGTCCTCTGTGACCCTCTTGAGTGTATGGTGGAAGCCTGCTGTTCCTTCTCTGGGGATAATTTGCCTGAATCAGTTAATCAAGCTTGAGAAATCAGTTACCACAGACTCAGAAGTGCCACTTTCCTTGAATTCTGATACCCTCTTCCTCATGTCCACCTCTTAGTTAAGTAAACAAACATCCCTTGAATGATCACTCTAAGCTGCTACCATTTTTTGCATCCGAGGGCAAACAGTGATGAAGGAAATGGGACTTGTCCCTACCATGACTCAGAAGGTGGAAGAAATCTCCCAAGGGAAAATAGATGTTGCCGTGGGAGTACCCAGCAAGGGCTCCTAATCTGGGAGTCAGGAGCCTCCTGACTCAGGAAAGGACACCTGAGGCAGTAACAGCTAAGAGGAGACCTAAGTTTGGGGAAGAGTTAGCCAGGCTAACGGTGCTCCAGGAAGTGTCTCAGGATAAGGGAACATGCCGGTGCAGACCCAGTGAAGGTTAGGGTGGAGCACAGTCAGAGCCTATAGGTGGTTCTCCAGAGCTTTGCTTAGTAGGTGAGCTGGTGGGAGAGAAGCTGGAGTCCCAGCAGGGAGGTCAGGTTCACTTGGATGAAGACTGGACTGTGCCCTCAGTGTTCTGGGGAGCTGCTAAAGGGTATTAAATGGGGAGTGGCATAGCTGAATAATTTTGGGTGCCCTGTGGCAGGTGGATGGGAGGGGTAAGGGTGGATGCAAAGAGTGAAGCCAGTGAGTAGCTTGTTGACTGGTGATGACGGTCAAGTGGGATCCTGTCCAGGGAGTAACTAGAAATGTGTATAAGGGCAGAAGTGAGTGTGCTACGCTTCGACACATTGGGAAATCTGGTACATAGTACTGCCTTTTTTTTTTTGGTTTTGGTTTGTTTGTTAACTTGTAAAACTGATGTGGAAATATGCCTTTGGCTTCGGTTACCTGAGCAGAAGGGCTCAGGCATTTCCAAACCCTCCTCTTTGGACAGTACTGCTCCCAGCATTGAGCGCCGTGTTCTGAGATGGAGAGAGGGAATTGTGCAGGAAGCCAGGGCAGTGCCAAGGTGGGTGGGGGAGCTTGCGGCCAGCCAAGCTGGGGTCGTACTTCCTGCAGCTTCTCTGGGCTACTTCTTGCTATCCTGTCCTGTGTGTCTCCTGGAGCGTCCAGAGGTCTGACCCGTGTTTGGAGACCGAGAAACTTTACTTTTAGGAAAATGCTCCCAAAGAAAACTCCTGGCCCTTTTCTTCTCCTCTCTCTTGAACATTCTGTACAGCTGTGTCTTTTCTTCCTGAGTTTCTCCTGCCGGGGTTTAGGGAAGGTAATTCTGTACTTGGGTTTGGCCTTGGAGACCCCAACATTAGGCTTTCCATTCAGATTTCACCCTTCCTACATGGCCCCTCCTACCTAACACACTCATCTTAGATTTGATAGAAATAATGGAATGTCCCGTTTGGATCGGGTATAACCATTTCTATGTCAGTGGGCATTTACAGAGTGGAGAAAGCTAAAGTCGGGAGAAGGGAACTCATATTCCTGTGGCACTTACATCATGTCATGTATTGTGTTACAAAGTTATTGATATGATCTCATTTCATCCTTAGGACCCTTAGAAGGTAGGCATTGCCACCCCCGTTTCATACTGAAGCAATCGATGCTAAGGGAGCATAAAGCCTTGGCCAACAGTATGTGACTTGGAAGTGGGGCTCATTCGGGTCTGGGATTTTTTTGCTAGGTTAGTTTCCCTTTCTTAATAGCAAGATTGTGTTTCAGACTTCTTTGTGTTACCTCGGGGATCTGAAAGATTCTTGCAGCTTCTACAACAGCTAAGTGATTCCTGGAGAGCAACTTCTGCTTGAGAAAAATCTAGCTAATGCTTTCAGTGTTTCTGGAACGCAAGCTCTACCTTCAATCATTTATAAAACAATTTAGATTACAAGCACGCATCTACAATGCCTCCCTGCCTGTTAGTGGTATGATGTTAACAGTGCAAACTGACGTAGTGTTGGCTTACTGCTTTCTCGGAGTGAGAAACATTGGGAGATAGGGACTCTTTGTCCTTCTAGAAGTTTAGTGAACACATGATAAATAAAAGAAATATTCCTAGGGTTTGACTATTTCAGAGGAATTTCTGATTTATTTGGATTGCCAGTGAATGAATTAGAATGTAACGGTAGGTCATTCCTTCTCGGATACGGCAAATTCTCTCCAATCTTTTTTCTTTCCTGGAAGTGTTTAATTCAAGTCCTTGTGGACTGGGGGACTTAGGAGTGCTATCTTACTAGAGGTTGATGGATTCGACTGTAGAGGCTGAGCTCAGCTTTGAGATCTCATTTGGACTTAGGGGTTTTTAGTCTAGACTTGGTTTTGTATTTGTAACTGGTTGTTGTATGCTAAGCTCCTTTTGCTGCTTTTCCTCATGCCTGAGGTTCTGCCCTACTCCTGCCTCACTAGGGGCCACAGTGATTAACTAGGCATGCTAAAGTCAAGTTGAGAGGGCCAACAGGTAGTGTGGTGGTTAAGTGCGCTGGACTCCCACATGGCTGACCGGGGTTCGAGTCCTGGACCTGGCCCTTGAATGCTCATTTTCTCTCTCTCTCTCTCTCTCTCTCTCTCTCTCTCTCTCTCTCTCTCTCTCTCTCTCTCTCTCTCTCTCTCTCGCTCGCTCTGTCCCTGGCTGGTCAGATTAAACAAATAAATAAATACATTTCAATAAAATATAATTTAAAAAAAATGAGTAAACCTGATTTCCAGTTTCTACTGAGAGTGCATGACTGAGAAATGCTATAGCAGGGCCTGGCCTTAACCTGTGTGTTCCTCCACTGTGTGCTTCCACTTTTCGTTTTCTGCCCCTACCCAAGTCTTAACTTTAGTATCACTACTTGGAATCATTTCAGCATTAAAGAAATACAGTTATTGGATATGCAGCTGGGAGACAAAATATGTGGGAACTCCCCCTTGCCCCAGCACACTGAAAGGTCCTCCAGGGAGGCCCCTGTGATACCTGACAAGGAAGCCAGGATGTGTCCAGGTGTGGGTAGAGCAAGGCCAAAAGTGTGCATATGTCCCGCCCGTGGGAGCTTGTCAGTTTTATAGACAACGCGCTGCACCTGGCTTGGCAGACGTGTATCTCCGTGGGATACTGTTTTCTTTCCATAGAGACACAGCGCTGGGGTTGTCCTCATCACCTGGGGGTGGGGGGCAGGTGGCCATGGCGTTTCCTTGGTGTTTACTCACCATCATCAAAAGCATGCAGTTGCTTTCCAAATTGGGAAATAACTGGTTTATTGATAACACCATTTATCATTTGAAGGATGCAAATTTGTGGTCAGATGGAAATGTAGTCTGCAGCAAATTTCAGGGACTCGTATAGGTTACCCCAGGCTCAAGGGTAAATTTATACATGCTATTGACATTTTATATAAGGAGAGGCTCTCGGGAAAGGGAGAGAGGGCTCTGGGATTCCTACATGCCATTTCCATCCTCAGGATCACTGCCATCTATAGTCTTTCATGCGAGTCATGCCAGTGGAGATAACATGACCAGGAAACTACTGACTACCTCCCAGGCTGCCGGCAGAAAAATCTGAAACTCTGTTTGCTTGAGAACTGTGACGCTGGAAATTGGGGTTCCTAATCATTTATTGAGGAGCAATCAGGAGGCACAGTTGGGTGTCGGAGGCCTTAGGTGAGAGGGCAGGAGCAACAGGGCTTTGCAGCAATAACTGACGTACGCTCCCTTCCTGCTTTATCTTTCAGTTAATGACCAGCCACAGTGTCCCTGCCGCAAGCTCCAGCCACTGCCTGCAAGGGCTCTTGGGGCTGTGCTGCTGGCTGAGGTAACATGGCTTGTTGGCCTCAGCTGAGGTTGCTGCTGTGGAAGAATCTCACCTTCAGAAGAAGGCAAACAGTAAGCCTGGGCTTCCCTGGGAGGCTCTCATGCTTTTCTCCATAGTGTTGAATTGGGGATTGGAGGGAAGGGAAGGAGCTCCCCTGGTTTTCACACAGGGATTAAATGAATCTGGCTCTTGTGGACATAGGACCAAGTGATCTGATGTGGCCCTCTGGCATATCATGAAGGGCAGATTTACCGCCAGAAAGAAATGTTAGCTTTAGATCGTGCTCATGCTCAGGCATGGGTTCTGACCTCTAGAACCTGCCACGGAACTGCTCCTGATCACCCCACTTGTCTCTTTTGCTGTAGTCTTGGGAGCCACCTGCTTTTCCAAAAGCATCTAATGGGTCCTGTATTTTTGAGAGCTGGGAGTGAAGTGAGTTCATGACTCAGCTCTGAAAGACTATTGCTTGGATCTCTTTGTGTCAGTCTGGACTCCCTCCTTACACCCTTGACTGCAGACGTGGAGGAATACACTAACTGAGATTTATTTATTTCTGTGGGGAGCTCTAAGCTATTTACTTCCCGGATGGGCTAATAATGCTTTGAGTAATCTTGAAAAGAGCACCTTGAAAGCACAAGTGAATGATATTTTTCCAAAGAGGAATGTGAAGGCGATAAGGCAGGTTGAACTCCCTGAGGCCTACGTGTCAGCTCTTTGCTTCCCTGTCTCTGAACTCCCTTCCTTAAAGATCCCATGTAGTCCTCTGAGTTTAGCTCACCCCTCTGTAGGTAGTTTCTAATTCTCTGTTTCCTCTCCTGTCTTTTATTCTGATTCTAAGCCTGCATCCCCACTTGGCTATCTTAATAAAGCTAATATGTCTGTAAACAAAATGATAATCTTTCTGAGACTCAAGAGCTATAAGGGGCCTTAGAGAAAATTTAATTCAGTGTTTCTTAAACTAGAATAATCCTTGGACCTTCTTTACAAAAACAAAAATGTCAAGGTACCCTTGTACCTTGCTTTTTATTATAATGTAACTTAAATATGTACATACGTAAAATTAGATATGACCCCTTCATACTTACAGAGCAGCATATAACTCTACGACCCATACATATTTACAGATTATTTACAGGTGCAAACAAAGTTATAGAGCCAACACAATTCAAATTAACACCAGAAATGTGATAAGACAGCTAACATCGTTTAGCTGAAACCAGCCATGAGTTGCAATGTGAATATGGTAGTGAATGCCACACTGCTGATCTTCGTGAGTGTGGCTGGTATAGACTATGTACTAACAATTCCATTCTCCATCCATTTTTCTCCTTGAGTGACCTTCATTTGATGTCGTCTGGCTTTCATTTTTTTTTTTTAAGAGGCTTTTTTTTTTTTTTTTTTTTTTTTTAGGGGCAAGTGGCTCCC